TGGCTGTGAAAGTTGGACCATGAGAAAGGCTGAGCGCAAAAGAATTGAGGCCTTTGAACTAAGCTGCTAGAGAAGACTCCTGCGAGTCCCCTGGACTGCAAGGCGATCAAACTGGTCAGTCCTAGAGGAGATCAACCCTGACTGCTCTTTAGAAGGCCAGAAGTTGAAACTCAAATACTTTGGCCACCTAATGAGAAGGAAGGACTCACTGGAGAAGAGCCTAATGCTGGGAAAGATTAAGGGCAACAGAAGAAAGGGACGACAGAGAATGAGGTGACTGGATGGAGTCACTGAAGCAATAGGTGTGAGCTTAAATGGACTCCAGAAGATGGTAGAGGACAGGAAGGCCTGGAGGAACATTGTCCATGGGGTCGCGATGGGTCAGACACGACTTCGCAACTAACAACTATTAAGGTGACCAACTTTTTTACAACAAAAAGGAGGACACGAATAAATTGAAGAAAAAAATATCGTAAATAAAAGAAACATTGTATTTATTGCAACAATAATACAGAATACACTATAATATGATCAATGCATAATAAAAACATTTGTAACAATCACATTTTATATTGTAATTATGCTCACATGCCTATTAATTATTTAAATGAGTACTTTTCCATTGAATGAATATTTTTTGTCAAAATATCATCTTCTAACAATATATTGGAAATATCTGAACAAGAAATATCCTTCATATTGAATTTTACGGCAAGTGCTGCAGCTAGAGTATCAACATTCAATCTCGATTTCTCACTTGTCCAAAAATCTACACGGCTGGACTGCGCGGGGATGGGCGGCGGAGACAGGTGTGAGCCAGGCGCTCCAGGATGGCCATGTAGATGCGCAGGGTGAGGTGGTGGCAGCGCAGGTCAGCACTGCGTAGATCACCAGCTGGTGCGGCCCATGGAAGGTCAAGTGCCCGCCGTGCCCCCGCCCACAGCCACCCCGCCAGCACCGCTGCCCTGCCGTGGAGAGCCGTCCCCGCGGCTCGCAAAGCACCAGCTGAGCCAGCTCCGAGCCTGAGCCGTCCCCCAGCACCATTGCCCACCCTGCGCATCCCCGTAGAGCCGGCCCCACGGCTCGCAAAGGCAAAGCACCAGCCACGCCAACTCCGGCCCTGCAGGCGCCCCCCCAGCTGCCCCGCAGCACCACCGCCCACCCTGCGCATTCCCGTAGAGCTGGCCCCATGACTCTCAAAGGCAAAGCACCAGCTGCTCCGGCTCCGGCCCTGCAGCTGTCCCCCCAGCCGCCCCCCAGCACCACTGCCCACCCTACGCATCCCCGTAGAGCCAGCCCCGCGGCTCGCAAAGCACCAGCCGCGCTGGCTCCGGCCCTGCAGCCACCACCCCAGCACCACCGCCTACCCTGTGCATCCCTGTGTAGAACCAAACATGGAATATCAAGAGAATTCCAGTCTCCTCCAGCTATCTGCAGAACTAAGTAAGAGATGATGTAGTTGGGTAGCAGTGAGGGGTGCAAAGTTCCTGCAACTTGCACATGCAAAGTTTGCCGCCTGGGTGTTTTGGCGCGTTCAGCAGCAATTTCTATTGGCTTTCAAAAGCCAATAGGGGGAGTAGCACAGCTCAGGCAAAAGTTGAAAAAAACCATCAAAAAAAGGTCCTGGAACGCCTTCTGGGCGTCCTATGAGGAAAAAAAAGCCCTGCAGATTAGTCTTCAAATATAGAAAAACAGGACATTTAGGAGGACATTTTTGAGGGAGGACAGAACTTACAAAAGGAGGACTGTCCTCCCAAAAGGAGGACGGTATATGGAAAAGGAGGACATTTAGGAGGACACTTTTTGAGGGAGGACAGAACTCAAAAAAGGAGGACTGTCCTCCCAAAAGGAGGATGGTTGGTCACCTTACAACTATATATATATATATATATATATATATATATATATATATATATATATATATATATATATATATATATATAGATATATATATATATATATATATATTGTTTTCTGAGGTTTTCGCGGGTATTTGTATGTAGGTCTTTGGTTGTTCGGGTTTTCTCCCGCGTAAAATTGGAAGTGTCTTGGCGACGTTTCGACGAAGTCCCATTCGTCATCTTCAGGCTGGTGTTTTCAGCTTCGTGCTTTGAGCAGCAATGTGTGGTCTTAGCTGTTTCTTCCTTTTAACTGCCAGTGGGGGTATGAACTGATTGGGTGGGAGCTTGGCTGTGTTCTGATTGGGTGGAGGTGTGTTCTGATTGGTTAGGGGCTTGGCTGTGCTCTGATTGGCTGGGGGGTTGGCTGTGCTCTGATTGGCTGGGGGGTTGGCTGTGCTCTGATTGGCTGGGGGAGTGTTCTGTTTGGTTGTGCTCAGGTTAGTCTGAGTTGCAGAGGGGTTTAAGATTTTGGGCTGCCTTGCTATTTTTTGGCTTCGCGTTCGTGGTCGTGCCTCATCTTCATGGAGGGTGTCAGTTTGCTTCATGTATGGATTGGAGGGGTTTAAAGTGGCTAATGATGCAGCTGTGGTCTGGCTTCTGGTTTGTGGTCGTGCCTCATCATCGGTGTGGCTTTGGGTTTGCTTTTTGCATGGATGTGTGGTGGTGACATCCTGTGTGGTTTTTGTGAGTGTGGGTCTGGTATCATTTTTTGTGTTAGGGAGTCGTTTGTCAATAAGGGCGGGTTTCCAAATGGCTGGTAGGCGGGAGGTATCATCTCGCTTGTTCATGCTGTGTGGGCGTTTTTCTATCTCGATGGCTTCTCTGATTATTCTGTTATTAAAATGTTCACTTTTGGCAATGGTTCTGGTATTTTTAAAGTCAATTTCATGTCCTGTGGCTTTAAGGTGTTGGACCAGGGAAGATGTTGGTTCCTCTTTTTTGACTGAGTTCTTATGTTCTTCAATGCGTGCACTTATTCTTCTGTTGGTTTGTCCGATGTATGTGGTGGGACAAGTGGTGCATGGGATTTCGTATACTCCTTGATTTTCTAATTCAATTTTATCTTTGGGGTTTCTAAGGATGGTGGATATTTTTCTGTTTGTGCAGAATGCTGTTTTGATGTTGTGTTTATGGAGGATCTTACTGATTCTGTCTGTGGTGCCTTTTATGTATGGGAGGAGGGCTTTGCCGTTTTCTTGTTCTTTGTCTTGGATTTTAGTGGGGGTTTCTTTTTGGATTAGGTTTGTAATCTTATTTCTATGGAATCCATTGGATGTTAGTAAAGATGACGAATGGGACTTCGTCGAAATGTCGCCAAGACACTTCCAATTATATATATATATATTTTCTGAGGTTTTCGCGGGTGTTTGTATGTGGGTCTTTGGTTGTTCGGGTTTTCTCCCGCGTAAAATTGGAAGTGTCTTGGCGACATTTCGACGAAGTCCCATTCGTCATCTTCAGGCTGGTGTTTTCAGCTTCGTGCTTCGAGCAGCAAAGCTCGAAGCTGAAAACACCAGCCTGAAGATGATGAATGGGACTTCGTCGAAATGTCACCAAGACACTTCCAATTTTACGCGGGAGAAAACCCGAACAACCAAAGACCCATATATATATATATATATATTGTTACATGTATTGTTCTAAATGTCACATACAGTAACAACAATGGAAACAAGATTTCTTAAACCACAATAGAAACTAACTGTGGCATTAAATAAACTTCACAATATTTTCCCCAGTTTTTCTGGTATCTATGACAAACTGTATAATCTATAAATATGTTCCCTCTGTTAACTAAATTAACTATTTTCAAAATGATACACCATAGTAGAATATAATACACTCATAAGAAGGGCATTTCATCTTGTCTTTTGGTTATAGAGGACACTTCAAAAAAAATCTTGCAACAGTGAGCATTGAAAAACTAATAATAACAAGGAAATGTTAATTGATGGTTTAAACTTGAACAGTTAGCAGTCAAACTCTGTCCGTATCTATTTTTTAAATAAAAATCATTGCTCTTATTCCCCATATAAAGTGGAATTACAAGGGTAATCCCTTTTCAGATGACTCATGAACTGGGGAAACAGGATTGGGCTGGAACTTGCTATCTTTTCTTATTATCAGTGCATCTTATCTTTTGTTCAAAGGTTATGAAAAAATATGTTCTGCATGCCCACAAACTTGATTCAGAGGATCATTAACAAATAAAGAAAGGAATGGGAGCCTGAGATTGTGTATTGATTTAAATGTGGTTGACATAGTAACAATTGACTGGATACACACATCTTCTCCAACTTGGCAGCTGCAGATGTGGAAGAGTTTTCCAAACAGAATGGCCATTAATTGTAAGCTTAAATATTATTTATAAACTGCAATCCTTGAGTTCTCACAACACACTGAACCAAAACTGAATAAAATACATATAATGGCTTAGCATGAACTGTAAAACAATAACTAGAATTTTTCGAATCTATATTCACATCCCTGTGGCTGTTTGAATAGGACTATTAAGGGAACAGTCAATCCAGCAACTAGTTACATTAGTTGAAAACAACACAGAAAATTCACCCACAAAATGTCTGTTTTCTCAGAGTTCAGTGTTGTTTCCAAGTTCTGGATCATTAACAGTATTTCCTAATATCTCCCCTATTAAACTTTTCCATGCTGACATTGGAAGCTATCAATTCTCAATTCTAGAACAATTGTATTCCTGCCCTATGTCTTAGGTTAAGTAAGTTATGTATATTTATTAAGGTACCATATTATGGTATGGTTCCTATTTAACTGTACTTGCAAACGACTGCAAAATCAGACATCAATCAAAGGCCACCAGAAAACCAATGGATTAGGATCATTGAAGCAGACCACTGGATCTCTGGAATATTGTTTTAAAACCCTAGGAGCCCTGTGCAATACAAGAAAGAATAAATGCATTTTGCTCATGCAGGAGTTCTCTGTGGATTGATTGAAGCAATTCTTTCAGGGAAATTGCCTGCTGGACATTTACCTAGAAGAGGCACACCCAGGAACGCTGCTGGCTGCAGTGGGAGTTTCCCTTCCTCCATTACCTACCTCTCCTCCTCCATGTGATGTTTTTTAGTCACGCCCACTTTCAGACCTGAACTTTTGGTAGCGTCTGCTTCCACTCAGAAGACACTTGCTCTTATTCTAACATTTTGTCTCTGCCCTGCTCCCTTAGATGAGGATGTATTTATGCCTTTATTTATCCCCCTATCACCCACTAAAGCTTAGCTTGCCTCTGAACAGTTCAGATCAGGCTTTCTAATGTGAACAAGCGAGTGGAATCTAAGAAGAACCCAGCATTCCTGCCAAAATACTGTTTTCCACCCATTCCACACAGGTGAGTTGGGCAGCTAGTTGAACACGTGGACAGCTATGGAGAAAAAAAACACCTGGTTTTTCTTTTTAACAATTTGTTTTCCAAAACTATGTATACCTTACTTTTTCTTCCTGGCTTTCTCTAGAAAAGTGTTTATAAACTGGGGGTAATTATTAGGGTAATTTGGACATATTCTGGGTGTAATGGAGCAATTTGTAATTGCTTGTTTGTGAGTTGAGGATCTTATTTGTGACTGCCGTTGCTGAGACATATGTCTAAAATAACAGTCTTTTTTTTTTTAGGGGATAGTATCATTTAGACCAGGGAAAGTGGTAATAAGATCAATCAGTTTCTGCTCTAAAATTTGTAGCAGGGAAAGAATTTTTATTCTTTTATACCTTTCTTCTTAGCTGCAGCTTGTTTAGTTCCAATCAGACAGCGAAATACTCTGTGAAGTTTTATGCAACAAAATAATGTTTGCATCAAGATCCTGTCAACTTAATATTTTAAAATATTCTAGTAACAGAAATCACATATGTTCTTATTTTCCTCCTCTTCCAGACTTCATAGGTAAGTCCTGTTGCTTTTTGGGCAGCCATTTACGGTAAGTGTTTTTGTGATATTTCATCTTATTAAAAGAATGAATAGCTCACTAGACTTAACTAATTCATTAAGAACAGTTTTCAAATCCATTAACTAGTTCATGGAAATGGAAAGTAGTTGGACCTGTGTAGAAAACTGAATTTGAAGGGCAATATATGATTTAGAACATGCATAAGAACCCAAATAACTTCTGGTAGAAAACTGTAAAGTAGCCATAGGGCTTCCTTTCTACTAATATCTTTTATCCAAGCTGCTTAATGATCAAGAATGAGGAAATCAGTATCAGTTTCATTTCATTCTTGTGTTGGAGCTATTTTTAATTACAGTGAATACGCAGCTTTATTTGTATGTATACTTTATATATCAATTAGGCAATCAGATGCATTTCACTGGCAAAAGCCAATAATCTCTTTCTTAAGTCTACCTATTGTCTTTTCTTCATATATTTTCCTTCCAAATTCTATCAAGATATCTTAATTTTGAAAGTATTAATTACAAAGTTACAAAGTTATTTGAAGATGATAGTTTTCATATCTTAGGGGAAGGGTCCTCAATCTTTTTGGTCTGGGTGACCACATTGAATGGGAATTTTGAGAACATGATATAACCACTCCCATCCAATTGCTGCCATTGTGGGCATGGTGGTAATAATGTAGATTGCTGAGATTGCTCCACATCACTGTTTCTTGAACTTGGCAATTTTTAGATACATTATATCAGACATGTCAAACTCGTGACGTCACGTGATGTCGTGCAACATCTTGAGACGGTTTTGCCATTGCCAGCAATGGGGTGGGTGTGGCTTCTGGATGACGCGTCCAGCCCGCGGGCCAGCAGTTTGACACCCCTGCATTATGTGGACTTTAATTCCCAGAATTCCCCAGCCAGTCATATTGGCTGAGGAATTCTGGGAGTTGAAGTTCACAGATCTCAAAATTGTTGTCAAGGTTGAAATACACTTTTCTACATCATTCTCACTAACTTCTGAAAATGCTCCCTCACCCCTCAAGCCTATTTTTGCCTTTCCTTTAGAGCAGATGGATGCCCTTCCAACCAAAGCTAACATTTTAATTTTCCAATTCTATTTCTATAGTTTATGTAAAACCCATATACATTTTGGAGAAAAATGTATATCCTGGTTAATCCTGGTGATCGCAGTGAAAGCAAAAAGTTATAGGATATTTGTAAGATTTATAGCTACAGTTTGCAACTTTGTCAGATTTCAGAAAAGTAGAAGGTCAAGACAAAAAATAAATATGATTTAATTTACTATTATTGTTCTTTACACACAGTCCACTAGATAGTTATTAGTGAATTTTCTAGTTTTGACTATCAGACCATTGAATCTTTCTCAAGGATCTTGGATAATTAATGATGTCAGAATATATATGCCATTCTAAGTAATACAACTTCCTGTAACTGAAGAATTGAGGTACATTTGTTCTTATTATGCTTTTCCAGGAATAATAATAATACAACTAACAGTAATAATGTATTTTAAATTGAAGTTAATGGTTCTTTTGCTACATCCTGAAAGACACACAAGCCCATTGTGGCATTACGATAGTTATAGGTGGTGTTTGACTTATAACCATTTGTTTAGTGACTAATCAAAGTTACGACTGAAAAAAGTGACTTAACAACCACTGCAGTATCACCATGGTTACATTATGAAAATTTAGGTGCCTCTAATTAGCCATGGAAGCCAGCTGGGAGACCTGCCTCCAGAAGCAGTAAATGCTCCAACACTGGAAGTTTTTAAGAAGAGATTGGACAGCCATTTGTCCGAAATGGTGTAGGGTTTCCTGCCCGAGCAGGGGGTTGGACTAGATGACCTCCAACGTCCCTTCCAACTTTACTACTACTACTATTATTATTATTATTATTATTATTATTATTATTATTATTATTATTTAACAAATGCAGTGATTCATTTAACAACAGTGGCAAAAAGCTTTGTAAAATTGAGTACAACTCACTTAACAACCAACTTACTTAGCAATGGAGATTCTGGTCCCAATTGTGATCATAAACTTTTATACAGTTTATACCTGCATAAATAAATAACATTTAGGGGTTTAATGGTTTCACATCTGTCATATGAAAATTGGCAAGTTTTTGGAGGAGTTATTGTGTGTGTGTGTGCTGAAAAATGGTTGGTTCCTCAGCGAGCACCTTTCAGATTTAAAACATGATACAATAATATCTGAAGCACAGATGATTTGAAAGGGCTCTAGCAATGTTTTCATATAATTCTGAGCTCTTTTAGCAAACAAATACTCTAGGATAGTATAGCATATCATGAGGGATGCTGGGAATTGTAGTGCAGCAAGGCCTGGAAGACTGTGTATCCCCATATTTAGGTTTTTTTACTGTATGGGAGGAGGTTAACTCTTTGAGATAAATCATTGGGAACAGCAGAAATGGCAGGTATTCTTCAGTTTTAACTCCACTGTGATTATTCCTTAAATTGCAATCGTATACACATTTGGTCAGAATTATATTGGGGCAGTGCTATAGTTCCAAAGGCTTTCATAAGGAAATATGCAGTTTGAAAATTACTGCATTCTCATCATGATATTGCAAAGAATTCTGTTGACTTAGATTATGCAGGGCTTGATAATCAGAAAATGGCGTGGGAGAGGCTCTAATTTCACTGAAACTGTCATGTATGTAACCATGCATGGACAGAATGGCAAATTATTAACTTCTTTTATAAATATGTGAGGTAAATTCCAAAAAGCTAAAGATCATCTTGGCTCAATTTCAATTAACAGGACTTTTTGTATGAACTCCAAAACAAGATAATTTGTTCTGCTAATCATCCTTATTTAAGAATTCCCGAGAGAGCCACTTATTGTAGTGATTAAGGCTATAAACTATGTAGTGATTAAGGCTATAAATGAGAGTTCTCATTCTGTTTTAAGCACAAAGCCAACTACGTGACCTTGGGCTAGTCACCTTTTTTCAGCCCTAGAAAGGAGATAATAGCAACCGCTTCTGAAAATCTTCCCAAGAAAATTTCAGGAACTTATACAAAGAGTCTCTAAGAATTGGACATGAAGAATTTAGGATTAATTGAGTCTATGGAATATAATACACAAGCCTCTTTGATTATCCAAAAAACCACTTTTTTCTTTAAGACTTAGCAAGAGGTTATAGTAATGTTATTTTAAAATATAATTAAAAAGATTAAAAAATACAAATTAAAAAGAAAAAGAAAAAATAGAAAGCGTAGAAAAGGAAAAATAGAATGTTGTTGTTAATTGCGAAGTCGTGTCCGACCCGTCGCGACCTCATGGACAATGTTCCTCCAGGTCTTCCTGTCCTCTACCATCTTCTGGAGTCCATTTAAATTCACACCTACTGCTTCAGTGACTCCATCCAGCCATCTCATTCTCTGTCGTCCCCTTCTTCTATTGCCCTCAATCTTTCCCAACATTAGGCTCTTCTCCAGAAAAATAGAATAGGAAAAAAAAAATAACAACCTAGTTTAAAAAGGGAAAGAAATGCTGTATATAAAATTGTTTTGGCCCATTATCACTCCAAGTATAAGCAATTTTAGCAACTTATCACCTCTTAAAAATACAATAAACGATCCCTTAATCCCATATTCCAACTATCTATAACAAATCTCCAAAACTTCATTGTTCAATCCTAGTCAGCAAAAATCAATTAAGGGTTACCAGAGATAATAATATATCTATTTTAACCTTGATCAAATAACCAACTTTATTCAATCTCTTAAATAATATTCTAGAACTTAATTTCATTTTTTCTTTGTCCCTTCTCCCAACATTTCTCAAGGTATTAACAAGTCTTCTTTGTAAATCCATTGTAGGAAAGCTATCCAAGTCATTTTTGATCTGTTATTTGTAAATTCTTTTTCATTATTAAAACATCAGCAGATTTTATTAGTATGTCCAATGTAGCATCTTTTTCCATACCATTTTTGTGGCCTATCATGTTTAGATCAATTTCAGTCTTGTCTTGAGTAAAACCAATTTTACTACTGTAACATCTTTTAAGATTGAAAATCAGGCTTGTCAGATGCTATATTTTTTCTATCCTGCTCTATGGAGTAGAGAGTTGGTCACCTGAAGAGACTAGAAGCATTTGAAATGTGGATTTACAGTCAGCTGTTACATATAAACTGGGTTGACAGGATCAGAAATGAGGAAGTTATAAGCCGCCTGGGAAAGCCAAGGGAAATCATCAAAACAATTAAAAAACAAAAGTTAGAATATTTTGGTCATGTGATGCGACATCCAGAAAAATACGGCATACTCGATTTAATCCTCCAGGGAAAGATTGAAGGCAAATGATGTCCAGGCAGAAGAAGAACATCGTGGCTTCAAAATCTAAGGGATTGGTTTGGACAAAATTCAGCAACACTTTTTCATGCGGCTGCTGATAAAAACAGGATCGCCAATGTTGAGTCCTCAGCTTAATGGCAATAAATCACAGAGCATCTCGTAGTGTCAAGAAGCCTTTATTGTTGTTTCTTCAGCTCCGTTTCAGCTCTGAGGCACACAGGCCTCTCTGCCTCTCTTAAGAACGCTTCCCCAGACCAAATGGCAACATTTGGCGCGCTCCGTGCCTCGCGCATGCGCGCGAAGCCGGAGCCAGCCAGTCTGGTCCTGGGCAGCTTGCAACTGCCCGGGACCGTTGCAATGTCCCGAGCAACAGCCAACATGATCGCCAACGTCCAATAACGGATATGGCACAAGAAGAGAAGAAGAAACATCTTTTAAATGTAGTCTATCTATAGAGGCAGATATTCTTAAAATTATCTTGGATTAATTGTCCAAAATATCCTTTAGTACTCTCTTCTATACTAATAAATCAAATTTAAGTGATCTTCTCCTTTAATTATAATTTTTGGTTCCTTTTGATTCTCTCTACTGTCCAACCTTCAAAGTCTCATCCTATCATATTTTTAAAAAGAGAATTCAAAACAAAAGTTTTTTTCCATGGGAAGCTTTCTTATAATTAATTTGA